GGCGGGGATCTGGTGGGCATGGAAGAGGCGGGGCTTTGGGCAGAGGGGGCGGGGCCTTTTGAAGAAGGGGCGGGGCTAGGGCTTGCCTCGCCAAGCCAGGCTTTCAACCTCCCGCTCGTGCTAATCCCAGTCAGACTTTTCCTCCCCCACAAATCACAAGCGGCTCACACTAGAGTATCAGGTGTTGCACACCCACCGAGACGGGTTGCCTGGGCTAGGGCCGGGGGACGGTAACGGGGTTGCAAAAGCACAGCCGGAGGCTAAGCGGTGACAACAATGGAAGGGATCAGGGTAACGTGCAAGAACAGCCACAGTGGGCAGGGCAAGAGGCAGTGGGTTCAAACGGCCGCATGGCAGATTCAGACCAAACTCCCTAATGGTAAGAGCAGCAGGATACGGGAACGGCTGAGGAGGGAGGCCGGGGCAGACTCCGTCCCTAGAGGTTTTCCAAAGGAGGCTTTAGCCACAACATATCCTGCCTTGGCCGGGGGTTAAACTGGCTGCCCCTTGCGGTCCCGTCTCACCCTGAGACGTCACTTTATTGGCAGGGCTTTCAAAGGGAATAAAATACGTGGGACTGAGCCCGAAGCGGATAGGAAACGCAGAGAATAAGACACGGCCCAGCAAGGCCGCACGGAGGTGGGGGCATCTGGAGAAAAAGGGAGAAAGGGCTGAGAGACACCTCCTGCCTCATAATGCCCGCTCCAAGGACCAGGCCTACACTGGCGGAGGAAATCAAGGCAAGAGACGCAACTCCAGCTCCAGCTCCGTGCGCTAAGTGGCTGGAGTCGACGTACCTTGCATCGATTTTCTGGGGCAGCCCCACAGCAGGAGGTCGACAGAAAAAAGGTTCCTCATTTCTCACAACGGCGAGGAGTACTGTGGTCGATGGGAGGGGGCGCCCTCAGCATTTGATTTAGCGGGTCTTTACTAGACCTCCTAAATCGAACCCCGGAAAGTTGATCACCGGAGCATCAGTCCTCGGGTAAGGGGTCACATACGTCACAGGGTGGCTGGTCCCTACCAAAGGAGTCAAGGCCCAGACTATCTAGGAAGGGGCTTCTTTAAGGAGAGAGAGCCCAGCACAGCCCTCCTCTTCCCCATCAGTAATTGGCTAGGCAGCTGGTTGGCAGCTAACGAACGAACAAGCCCCTAGCACCTGAGAAAAGGCTGCCGACTCAGCGGCCAGAGGGTGCTCCTAGAGCAGGGGTGGGCAATAATTTTTGGGCAGGGACCACTTCAAAAATTGGGCTGGGCCGGAAGGGGCGAGCCTAATCTGGAAGGGGCGGGGCCAGTATGCTTCTGGGCTTCCCTGCCCCCAGAATAATTGATCTGGGGGGTTGGGAGAGCCCCTTTGCCCCCCACCTTCCCACTAGGCACCCATGCCCCTGGCAGGGCGGGAAGAGGCTTCACACACTCCCCTGTCCCCAGGCCCTGATTGGCTGGGGGGGA